AATCTATTTTTGCCAATGTGCTGCAAATTCTTAACAGGAGGATACTTATCTCTGGGAAGATGATGATGACAGGTAATTCATTATCCTTAATGATCCATCTATTTGCAACTTGGCGGTTCCAATGCTTTGAGCTAGTGATTATTATCTAACTTTTTGATTTTTTTTAATGATTCATTCATTGGCGATTCCTAGTCTTCATCATAACCATTTTCAGGTCATGAGTATATGTCAGCAATATACTTGAATTTACACATATCATCTGAAAATGATTATTGACTTGGCCACCCTGGCTGGTTGAGTTGGAGTAGGCCAGCTAGTTAGGCACTTAATAATATGGAGGATGGTTTGGGACAGAATTTAAATGTGCCTAATGTACACACCTTGACTTTGGGCAAAGTTTTTAGAATAATATGGACTTGGATGACGGCTGAATTTCTAGCATTCTTAATTTTTGTACATGTGAGAAATTTATACCTAGAAGGACTCTTTGCCCTGCAGCTGTAGAGGCTGCACAAACAGTTGATGCACCACCCTCCTTGTTCATTACTTACCTAGCTGCATTCTCAAAAATATGATTTTAATCACTGAAGAATGGGACATAAGTCAAACCAAATGCTAAAGCCTAATTTCCTTGGAAGGGACCTTACAAAGCCCTAACCATCTTAAACTTGGGTCAGATTACCTTGAGAGAAGTTTTGAAACCCTAAGAGCCTCTAAAGTATTGTGCTTGGAACTCTTTTGTATATATCATGCATGTCAAATACATGTCTGCTTGCTGACTTGTATTCTCCTCTCCCTCAGCAACATAATAACTACTTCAGTAACATACCTCTGGAGTGTGATAAATCCTGATATTTGCACATTGTAAATGTAGAGAATGTGATGGGGAGGGTGGTTTACATGATAAGGGTAAAGGTCCTTCGTCAGGCAGTTAGTGACCAACTCCTTGCTGTTCTAACTGTGACATTGTTGTCCAGTTTGCTTCCGCAGTTTGCCTAACAGTTGATAAACGTTCCTGAGGGACTTCAGAACCTAATTAATCTCATCACTGTTTTCACTTAACTATTTTCGACAGAACCCACTTAAGTCTTCAACCGATTGCTGACCTGATGCTATTCTTAGAATGTGAAAGCTGATATCAGATCACGAGGAAGTTCTAGGTTTCTCAAATTTATCAAATTGTTGCAAAAGTGGACCTTTTTTCTCTTTTCTTTCCTGTTGTTGCCATAGAAGCTCATGAAGTTTAGTAAATGTGTACGTAATGTAGATTTCTCTTCAATATTAAAACCTTTTTGCATATGGTACTTGAAACTCATTATTAACTGCATTTTTTTTCTTTTTCAGTTCCTGGGGTGCTTTTTAGGCACCAACTTCTGATATACTTTTTCCATATGTTTCTCTTGACCTGCCTGTTTGGTTACAGGTATTCGGTGGAAAAGATACCACTCTATGATTCTGCAGAAGATGAGCCTTTCACCAAGCTTCTCAAAAGTATGGATTCATCAGAACTTGAAATTGATGCCAATGGGAAAAATGACTTTGCCATGGCACTGAGTGTTGGTGTTAAAAGTGAACCCCTGTTGGAATCTACTTCTCTTGTTGTTCAGCCACCTGAATCAGTTCCAATGGAAGGTGTAGTTGTGAATATTGTACCAAAAACAGAAGAAAATGAAGACACAAAATTGTATTCGCAAGACACTCAACAGGCCTTTTCACAAAAGAATGCAATGATATCTCGCATCAAAAGTAACAGTGCATGCCGGAACTATCACATTGGTCCAGGCCCTGTGCCAAGGAAAAGGTCACAGCCGTATTCTAATGGAAAGTCGAAAAATCTTGCACAAAAGCAAGTTGATGCAAAACATGTTGCCCAACTCTTGGCATCAAAAGAAGCACAAGAGGAGATTCTCAGAAATGAGGTACGAATTATGCCTCTCTATGATAATAGAGTGGAAGAACTGTTGTCATTTTAACATTAAATCCAATGAGCTTCGTGAGATCCATTAGGTTGGAGCAAGTTACAAAAATTTTCATCTCCCCTTGAAAATTCTGAGTTTTCACAGGAAATGAAGAGGGAGGCCACCTCCCAGCTCTCGTCCTTGTATGATGAAATACGCCCAGCCATTGAGGAGCATGAGAGGGACAACCAAGACAGTGTGGCCACAAGTGTAGCTGAGAAATGGATCGAAGCGTGCTGCTTGAAACTGAAGACAGAGTTTGATATGTATTCCTCCATTATAAAAAATGTTGCCTGCACTCCGAGAAGAACACTCGACCCAGTGAAACCTAGCGGCGGAGACAATCCCAACGATGTGAAGTATTTGGGGTTCTGAAAGAGCTGGTAACTATTCCCTTATATCCATTCTACTTTAATTTATCAAAGATTTAGAAAGTATGAAGTCAATTTTTAGCTTCTTTATAGGGTTTTTCAGCTTCCAGATTCTAGCACTAATCAAATGCAACTTCAATCTCAGAAAATCCATGTCATGTATATATTATTTTTATCTGTTATCTATCTTAAACAATTAATTCTGCCACATTAACATCTTTTTTATCTCAAAAATCATTGCGAGTGCTCTCTCAGTATGTTTTTGTATACTTCAAAAAGTCCATGATCGATCGAGTACATTTTCATTAATTTATACATATCGACTATTTAGTGTGCAGTCGATGTAATACAATGAATTTAAATTTTTTCGAAGATTGGTATTGATGCAGTAACATTATGGAATTTAATCGATAATTAAGCCCCTAATTGCCGGTATAATTTGGTGGGCTTGTAGTTGTAGCGTACCTTACACTTCTATATGGTATATTATGCTATTATTTAGTTACAAATCCAGTGTTGTCTTTGATTTTTTTTTTTTTTTTTTTTTTTTAATTTTTTAATAATGGTTGAAACCTAAGCAAAACCGCGTGGGTCCCTTGGAAAGTTGCCACGTAATCACTGGGCCTGTTTTTCAGTCGGGCCACGCAGGGTGATTTTGACCCTCTGAATTTTGTGAAAATAGTTACTGAATTTGAGGTTGATGACCTTAGTCAATTCTTTATATGTTTAATTCAAATTCAATAATAACGTGTTTAATACTTATTTTGGACTTTTCTTCTTAAATTTACGTATAAATTCATGTTTAAAATAGTTCTCCTAAAATACTTTACCTTTGTTATTAATGCTATAAAGAAAAAAAAAAATTAAATCTTTATTAAAATAACATAAAATATAAATTACAAGAGATTTTTCTATATAAAAAAAATAATACGTTACATTAAATTTGATGGTATTGTTGAAGATGTAACATTTTATATGATAAAGGCCTGATATGTAGTTTTCATTAATATTCCTCATCATATTATTGTTATTGAACAACAACATAATATGAATGACCGATATTATGAATAAACAAATATTTTATTTTTATTATTGTTTTTAATTTTTTTTTTCTTGTTTTAAATATTTCCAACTATTAATTCTTCGTTCTTGTTTAATTTATTCAAAGTCTCGCTTATATTAAAGAATTGTGATATAGATTAAAAAATAACCGCAATCTTCCACGTCGTAAGAATAAATATTCATCTCTCAATTAATATAAAACCTAATAAAAACTCTATGTTTGGAATTTTCAAATCTCATACATCAAATTACTCTTTAACTAATCATACTTAGAAACCTAATTATCTAATAATTCAAACAATAAGTCAAGTGTTCTTCTTCTCGACATCACCTACCATTCCTTTCTCTATATCATCAACCCTTCTTTTTCTTCCTTCCCTACTAGAATATTAAATACACCATTTGAAAATACTAAAATCAATCTATCTGTTCTGATAATATTTAATATTTATAAACCATTTTTCTCTGTATTAATCGTAAATTATAAACCATTTATCAGAAATTCAATATACGTTATCATTTCATCATATCTTCGTCACTTTGAATAAGGCATACATACATGGTAGAACTCAGAAGGTAACATTACCTTGACAATGATCTTTAAATCAAAGTCAATTTGAATCATTAAGTTAGAAAATGAGATAGTTAAAAATATGTTACATTTATAAACTTAATGTAGCTATCACAGTATTTCTTATATTATAGTTATAAGATTTATTCCATGTATTATTTAAAAAAAAAAGTTGAATACATTGACCCAAGTTTGAAATAAAATAAAATCCCTTGATACTTTTGAAATAACAAAAATTTATTTAAATCATTAACAAATAATTAGAATTTAAAGTATTATAAATTAATAAATATTTATGGAACTATCTTCTTTGTTTGTTTTAAAAGAGTAAATGACTTTTTCCCACCCAAGGTTTGTCTTAATAACACTTTCCACCCAAAAAGTTTCAAAATGCCACTTTCCCACCCAACAATTATGTTCCATCAATATCCAAAATTTACTTCACTTTCTCAACTGGCATTCAGGAATTACCATAAGTCAGGGTAAGAGAATTTTTATAGTGTGAAGGCCGGTGGATCGAATGGTGGTGATGTTTAAATATTCGTCGTTGGAATCAGTTAGAAATCAGCTAAGAATAAGAAGCTAAGAAACCCTAGCTTTGCGGTGACCAACAATCGATGAGAAATCAGATGTTGAAGTGAGAGGGGACCGAATGTTTAATGGTGGTGATAGAGAGAATTTTTGCCACTAGATCAACTTTAAGTAGTATCAGAATATTGACTTTAAGTTAAAAAGTGACAGTTTGAAACTTTTTGGGTGACAGGTTCTATAAGGCAAACCTTGGGTGGGAAAAGGTGTTTACCCGTTTTGAAACCTAAAATCTATGAGCATAGATTTTTGTAATATCTAGAATAGAGATTTTTTTGTTATTTAATCGTGCATGAAGGGTGTTATTGTCGTTAACCTTTAAATATTAAGCAACGGTCCCATCCCAAAAATTAATGGTCAAGATCAATCCTCCCACGTCCACACCACTCCACCAAATCCCACCCCACTTTCGTTGACTCGCCTTCTCCACGACGACTCTCTCTTCATCTTCCTTGTAAAAACCCCCCGCCCCCATAATGGCGGCTCCATTTCTTCATCCTCTTCTCCTTTCTCTCCCAACTCTTCACAACCAAACTCTCTCTCTTTCTCTCACTTCAAACCCACCACCATGCCCCTGGCTTCACCTGTCCAAGGCCTCCTCGCCGCCATCGCCAGCTTCTTCTTCATCACTCTAATCTTGGCCGTCATCTTACTTTTCTGCAAAAAGACCCGCAAACCTGAAACCCGGAACCGCACCCGGGACTCCGCTAGGACCCAGCCCCACGCCGAATTAACATCCATCGCTACCTTCGATAGCGCCTCCTTTGACCCTTCTCTCAATCAAATCTCCATGGCCGAGCTCCTCGACGCCACCAAGAACTTCTCCTCCGATCTCATCATCGGCGACGGCAGTTTCGGCTTCGTCTACAAAGCCAAGCTCTCGAACGGCGTCACCGTCGCTATCAAGAAGCTCGACAAGGACGCGTTTCAAGGGTTTCGCGAGTTTCGGGCTGAGATGGAGACTCTCGGGAAGCTCCGGCATAGAAACATCGTTAAGATTCTCGGGTACTGCGTCTCGGATTTGGATCGGGTTTTGATTTATGAGTTTGTCGAGAAAGGAAACCTCGACCAATGGTTGCATGACACGGTGACGGAGAGTGATGACGTGGACGATACTAGACAGTCGTTTTGCCGGTTACCGTTAAGTTGGGAGACGAGAGTGAACGTGGTGAGCGGCGTGGCTAATGGGCTGGCGTATTTACATGGGCTTGAAAAACCCATTATCCATAGAGACATCAAGGCGAGTAATGTGTTGTTGGATTCGGATTTTGAGGCCCATATCGCCGATTTCGGGCTTGCCAGGAGGATCGACACGTCACACTCACACGTGTCGACGCAAGTAGCCGGTACGATGGGGTACATGCCACCGGAGTACATGGGTGGGAACACGGCGGCAACAGTGATGCTGGATGTTTATAGCTTTGGGGTGTTGATGATCGAGGTGGCAACGCAGCGGAGGCCCAATTGGCCAGCGATCGTTGACGGGAAGGAAGTTGGACTGGTGGAGTGGAGTAGAACAATGGTGGAGCAAAATAGGGAAATTGAAATGGTGGATTCAAATATTTCAAGGGAAGAATTGAGTGAAAATAAGGTTAAGGAGTATTTCAGGATTGCTTGTAATTGTACCAATGAGAAAACAAGAGAGAGGCCGGCAATGAAGGAAGTGGTTAAGGATTTGGAAGAATTGGCATCATGAATTTGGATTTTGTAGGTATAAAAAACATGCCTTCATTTGTTTTCTTGATAAGATTGTAAATAGTTTTATGTTTGCTTACAAATATTAAATAAATTTGAATTCCGTTCGAAGGGGTAATGAATAAATTTAACCAACGATGATGTGATTGCTTGAATATGATCATACGAGAGAATGTGTTAAAATTAGCTTACTTGATTCATGAAATGAACCTAAATTTAGATGGTTTATAAGTGTTTGTTGAGAAGAAATCTTTAGTATAACAAATGTATGTGCGTCGAACCAATCAAAGGACATCAACAGGGCATCCTTTTGTTTTCATAGATACTTTTGGTTATGAAATAAATCGGTAGCCTAATGTGAGGGAATGAGTTTGGACTCTTTTAACAAATATTTGCTTAAAATCAAACTCATGGATGGTTAAGTCTTCAAATTTATTAAAATGTATCAACATTCAACAAAGATGATAAGCTTTCGGGAAAGAGAAGAGCAATAACTGAAAATTATATCAGAGTTAGGTAAAATGCTGAAAAAATTTTAGTACATTTTTAGAAAACATTTTCTCAAAATATTTAGATTATTTTTTAACACCCTACATTTGTTAATTTAGTTAAACAGTTCTCATAATAAAAGTTTAAAATTAACAAAAATATCTTCACCCACCCAAGTCACTATCGGCCGTTGGCCACCACCGCCAGACAACAGCTAATAGTCGTCAGAACGGCGTACGACCGGCTAGATCTGGTTGATCTTTAGTCATCGTCAACAGCCAGATCTAGCCAAAATCTAGCCATCTATGGCTAGACCATGGCCGACAATGGCTAGACGCCGATCAATCATGCGTCTTTCTAGCGCCGGCAAACGATGGTGGCCGGAGATGGTGGTCTTGGGTGGATTGATTTTTAGAATGGGAGAAGTAAAAGATAATTATTTTTAGTTGAATAAAGTTGGAAAAATGTTTTGAATTGAGTAGAATAGGATAATGATGGGTGTGTTTGTTTTGTTATTTTGGATAGGATTTTGGGAATAATATTGGGTAGGTTTGGTTTATTATTTTAGATAGGATTTTGGGGATAGTATTGAGTTATTGGATAGGGGAGTATTACGAGGTAAACTTAAAAAATTTATGAAAAAGCCCTTAGATTTACTAATTTAATTAAAGACCTTAATATATAAAATAACAAAAACACCCCCACCACCTGCAGTGCCAAATTCCGACCACCACCGCTAGAATCTGGCCGGAAAATTTCGTTACGACACAGACCGGTCGGATCTGTGTCATAACGCGTCTTATGGCCTTTTCCAGCTAGGTCCACCACGGATCTGGCCGAAAAAGGCCAGATCTACGAACTGTTGTGGCTGCGACGGCTGGAAAAGGCTAAAACAACGGCCATCTTTGGCCGTCACAGACAACGACAACCATATCTTTGGCTGTCGCTGACGGCCAAAGATGGCCGTTGTTTCAGCCTTTTCCGGCCGTTGTTTGTGGATCTGGCCGAAAAAGGCCAGATCTGGCCATTACCGGCTATTTACGATGGCTGTATGACTATTGTGATAGATTCCGGCTACCACCGGTGATGGTTGCCGGAATCTGGCAGGTATTTGTGGATGGAGGTGTTTTTGTTAGTTTTTAAACTTTTTTTCTGGGGGGTATTTAATGAAATTAATAAACTTATAGGGTCTCAACGTAATTAAAAAAATAGACTAATATTTTGGGAATAACATGCCAAACAACATTTGAAAAATAGGATTGGGAATATGGATAAAAACAATAAGCCAAACGCACCCATTAGGTAGTTGAATAAGGTGAGAATTACGGGGTAAAAATTAAAAATTAACAAAAAAACCCCATAGGTTTGCTAATTTAACTAAACACCCCAATATATAAAAATTTTATAAAATGACAAAAACATCTCACCCATCATAGTGCCAGATTCCGGCCACCACCGTCGGAATCTACCGTTACGACGCAGACCGGTCAGATCTGGCCTGTGGTGTGTCGATCTGGCCTTTTTCAGGAAAATGTCAGATCTGCGGCCAGATTTGACTGTCGTCAGCCGCAAAAGACCTCTAACGGCCAGATCGGTGAATAAACGGTCAATTCCAGTCGTTTTTGGGCCGTTGTGCTAGATTCTGGCCACCACCGATGGTGGTTGCTAGAATCTGGCAACTATGGGTCGGTGGGATTGTTTTTGTTAATTTTTAAACTTTTTTTTGGGTGTTTAATTAAGTTAATAAACTTAAGGGGTATAAAAGTAATTAAAAAATAGAATAATATTTTCTAAATAATTAAACAAACAGGTATTTTGGGAATAGGATAGGGAATATGGTTTGAAATAATAAAACAAACGAATCGATGATTTCTCAATTGGGCTTTCTCAGTTGTAAGTTGTAACTGTAACCATAAAATTATGTCTTTGCATGGTATAGAAAATTTGGGTAAATATTATGTATTCTCTCTTTGATTAGATGATTTTGTTTCGTTTTCTCATTTTTCCAAACAATTAAATCAAATAGTAATAAATGTTTAACAGTCTTTCAGTGATCACGTAAGTAAGAGTAATGCTATGCTTACTCACAATCTTACTATCCTTTGTAAATATAATGCATAGTACCGGTACCATACACATAGTATGGGTACCATATGTAATTTTAACAAAAGTAGTAAGGTGGTTAGTAAACTCGTGAGTAAGCATAGCATTATTGCGTAAGTAATTACTCACTGCAACAGATGTACCACGTATTCACGTCAGAATGCTCATGTGGTACATCCACTGCCACATGGCTTTTAATACTTAGATGGATGTGCAACATCAGCATTCTAGGTGGTACTTACTTCCCATCAATAATGAGTAGAGTGAATGACATTTTCCCACCCAAAGTTTACTGTAATTACTTTTCCACCCATAAAATTTGAAAAAAACATTTTCACACCCATCGTTAAATTCAGACGTTATTTTAACAGCAAAAGGGCATTATTGTCGTTTCACACAATATATATTATAGAGTTAATGTTACTTATACCCCTAAACTACAAACACATAACAGTTACCTTTACCAGCTTGAAAATTAGCCATTTAAACCCGTACCCTCAATTTCTATAATTACAATGGAGGTTTCACTTTTAATATATGTGTGTTTCTAAAATAATTAAAAATTGTATCTATTATTTTTAAAAATTATAGTAATATTTGTTCATTAAATACAGTAGAACTTCTCTATAGTCATAATGATGGGGCCAAACTAATTTTGGGTGCGTTTGTTTTAGTATTTTGGATAGTGTTTTTGAAAAAGTAAGAGTTAGATGGTTATTACGAGGTATGATTTGAAAATTAGCAAAAACAGCCCATTAGGTTTGTTAATTTACTAAACACCCCTATAATAAAACATTGAAAATTAACAAAAATACTCCCACCCACCCATTAAATACTGACAACCAGCCACTATCGCCAGAGGGTGGCCAAAGTTTCCGTATTGACATACAACCGACTGGATATGACCGGTCTTGCATCGATATGACCTTTTCCAGCCAGATCCATCGTGGATGTGGCCAAAAAAGGTCAGATCTATGGCTAGATCTAGCCATTGACGGCCAGATCTGGCCGCGTTTGGTTGTCAACGAAGGCCAAAGATTTGACCGTCGTTGACGACTAGCTATGGCCAAAGATCTGGCCTTTTTCAGCCAGATCCATGGTGGATATGACCGAAAAAGGCTAGATTGCGAGCACTACCGGCCAGATCCAACTGGTAGTGCGCAATTATACCAGATTCCAGCCACCTTTAGGTGGTGGTGGCCGAAATCTAGCAAATGTAGGCGGGTGTGGGTGTTTTTGTCAATTTTTAAACTTTTTTTGGGGGGTGTTTAGTTAAATTAACAAACTTTGGCGGTCTGAAAAATTGAATAAAATATAATAGTATTTTCATAATAAAGAAATAAATATGTATTTTAGAAATGATAGGAATAGGATAGGGAAACAAACACACTCTTTATTACTATGAAGAGGTTACAACCTAATAGATGTGTAATTGAAATAATTATTATTTTGACTTAATTATCCGTAGTGCAAGTGGTATAGGGGTAAAGTATGCACTACATTAATAATTAATAAATTGAGCATGTCAAATCCAATACATAGACAATGATAAAAGAGATAGACATGGTTTCATGCCAAAAACTTTAAACATGCTTGAGAATCTAAAAATAATTTGGCTTCAATAAGAAGGTGTCTATGCTGGCGAGTTATTATGTATTCGCAAGTTAAAAGATGTGGCAGCAACCTAAAACATAAATTATTATCCCAAAGAACTTTAGATAAATATTTTATTTTGGGAGAACGATTGTTTCCCACCCGCTAACTTTCATAACGACACTTTCCCACCCATCGTTAGGATCTATTAATAAAATCCTTTAACTGGCATGATATAAACAGTGTTAAGACGAAAAAACCCTTCACTTCTTTTCTTCTTTTTTCTTCCATTTTCTTCTTCTTCACCTATCGAGAGTTTTCAAAAGACGTCCTAACTTTCTCTATTTCCTCATCAATCGAAATCTCTTGTGAATGACAATCGAAATTGCAAAATGCTTTCTCACCTCTGCAATAAACCAATCAAACCAGAGTCTTTGTCATAAATTCTTCTAGTGAAGGCACATTCACACTAAATAAATAGGTTATTAGTACTGTGATTGGAGCATACCTGTATATGTAAATATCTTTACCCTCCAATTCCTTGTGGCAAGTGTAGCAGAAGCTCAAGAAATCAACAGAAGGATATGGAGTGGTTGAGCTCTTTACCCCTTTAGTTTCCTTCACTTCACCCTTGCAAATTTTGTTCATCAACTGATTAGAGTGACCTTCCAAAATGTAGTCCCCATAAATAAATTAAAAAAGAAATAAAGCTTGCTGCTTTCGGCTTAGGAAAGTCATCTTCGAATAATAATGGTGCAGATTCACTTGTGCTTTTCAATTGTTGATGCTTGATTTTGACACCAATGATTCACACATGCAAAGTGCTAAGCTTACTCTTAGAAATTACACGTGAATGATTCATGAAAAGTGTTTATGGTGTTGAGATGATATATGTTTGCAGAAACAAAAATAAAGGATTGAC